TTACAAATATCCATTTCTAGCACATGCAGTACCTACATGTAAAATTTACTCCTTACAGATGATTTTAGAAAGCTGGTAAGATACTTATTAAACAGCAATGTAACACTGATACATTTTCTTTGGCACACATTAAAAAACAGCTATTTTCAAACTAAATTATCTGCTGTTAAATGCACATAATTTGTTACATGATTGTTCACAGAATTAGCAATCCCAGGAAAGGAATTTCTGGGATAAAAGTAAGACAGTTGACCTTAATAAAAGTTTTGCTGTTGGCTTCCTTGGGGTTAGAATTTCATTCCTTGACTTCATGCAGTCAAAACTTTTTTTTTCTGAAATAAATAATTATGAAGTTGAACTTTATAGCAAGAGCAGACCAAAGTAACAAAGCTAGGCAGATTTAAATCTTAAGTCTATAACAAAGTTAAGTCTATAGAAAATCGTTCCCTCCCCTCCTCCACAAATGATTATAACACAACTTCCTGCCAAGAGCAGCTCTGGGTGAAGTCTGAGTTTTTGCACACTATGTGGAAAGTATAAAACAAACCCCCCACCACCCCATGTGTGTACCAATAAAAAGTCTCAGTATTTTCTCCACAAGAATATGTTGTTTTAGAAACTCTGACTAATTTTCCCAGCAGTTTTGTTGATGATTCAGCCTGCTTGCTGCATTTTACTACAACAAATTAGTTTAATTTAATTTCTTCAGCAAGACATACATGCAGTACTGGCCCTTTACACCAGAGCAGTCACACATATTGGGAGTTTCCTACATCTCCTGCTTTTTATGAACTTGAAATCTGGCTGTATTTCTGAGTCAAAAAACAACCCCCACTGAGTAACTGTATATCAGAGATTTTAAAACAACTCTTGTAAGACTGCAAAGAACACTTATGGCACTGAAACTATCAAAGTTCAGTGAAAAAACATTTATTCTTATAGGGCTGAAGTAGAAAGAAAATAGACCTTCTCACTACAAAAAAAATTTGTAACTGATATTCTACACTAGCCAGGTTGAATGCCAAATGCCAGTACCCAATACATGACCTAAACCAACTTTGCTTCCTAGTGTATTACAGGAAATCTCCAGTGACAGCCTAGACATAAGCTGAAGTGTTGCTCTGTAATAAAACCCTTTTAAATTTAGAAAACAGGAAAAAAAAAGTAAAAAAGAATCCTAACACAATAAAATGCAGTAATTCCCAGATGAACAAATACTTGGGTTTCTCTAAATATATCCACTGTAGCTCAGTTTATCATAGACAATAGCTATCTTTTTGGACTGCTCTTCCACATAGCTGCAAAAGCTACTTCAAAAGCTACTTTATCAAATTCCACTCTGAAAATCCCACATCTCCAAATGTATTACCAACTGGAGATGACTCTGCTTCCTCTAAAAAAAAAACACCAAAACCTGCCCAAGCTCTTCTCACAGGATCAACAGCAAGGTACCAAGACCAGTTTAAATATACAGATGTTTCTTACATTTTGTTATAGTCCCAATTCTCCAATGATCCAGAGGACAGTGGATTGGCAACAGAAATAAATTAGTGGCCAACATTTACTTGCTGCTGAATTCAAGTCATTCCCCTATCCTTAGGTCCATCTTAATCCCACCTATAAAGTCCCAGGGATGAGAGAAGAGGAAACAAGCCCCTGAAGACTTCAGGTTTTAGCACTGAGGGAAAGGTCTTTTTGTATTTCAAGCCTCTTGTGAAATGAAACTGAGACAGTCAAATTATGCTTCTGCATTTAGCACTCGAACACACTAGTATTCCCCTTTCTTTGCCACCACTTTCCACATCGTTCTGCCACAGTGCTCTGCACATGGTGCTGGTTACTGAGACGGGCTTCGTGGGATGTAACACTGCAAGGGCAGCTCTTTGCCCTTAAATTTGGCTATGAGAGACCCTTCGGCTCCAAGGGATGCCCTAGGGAAGAGAGCTCCACTCCTCCTTCCCACTATGCTACAGTCACCACCAAAGTGAAGCACCTTTGTCCCAAAACACAGCACAGGCCTAAGCCCTTCCCTCCCCGAATAAAGAGGGGACACAGACAATCCTTTTATTTTAGACACCACTGTACCACGTCTTCCATGTTCACCCAGCAGTACACTGGGCCAAATCTTCAGCACAAACCTTTCTTTCCTGCAGCATTTTCACCGGGCTAACAGCATCTCCTCCCTTCCCCCGGACACCAGCACCTATCCATTCATCGCTGCCTCCTGGCAGGTCAATTCTCCCCTCCCCCGGCACCCGGAGCCCTCTCCCACCGCGCACCCCCAGGCCGGGCTCTCACAAGGATGTCCTGCCCCACGGACGGAAGGGATGGGGCCCGGGGCATAAGTGAATTAGGAGGAATTTCTTCTCATTAGACACTGGAAGGGGCTGCCCAGGGAGGCGGTGGAGTCACCACCATCCCTGGAGGTGCTTCAGCAAAGACTGGACGTGGCACTCGCTGCTGCGGTCTAATTGGCAAGGTGGTGCTCGGTCACAGGCTGGACTCGATGATCGCAGAGGTCTCTTCCCACCTCACTGAACCGGGGCTCCTGTGATACCCTGTCCCGGCGCCCCTGCGGCTTCCCGTTCCCCCCTGTCAGAAGACAATTCCTCCCCACCCGGGTCCCCCCCATCCCGGAGAAAGGAGACCCGCCCCGGGTCCCTGCGGGGGCGGCTCCCCAGCAGGAGCCCAGCGCGCCGCTCTCCCGCTCTCCCGGGCCCACCGAGCCCCCCCTCACAGACCTGTGGATCCGGCCATCTTGTCCGAGCCCCCCCCACACCGCTCCGGGCCCGCACGCCACGCGCGTCACTTCCCCTTGGAGCGGCTCCGTCACTTCCCGCCAGGAAGGCCGAGGCGCAGCCCCGGAGCGCGGGAACGCGCGGGGCCGGGCGGGGCCAGGGGGCGGGGCCGGCACCCAAGGCGCGCCCCCGTCCCGAGCTATTCCACCTGGGAAGCAAATTCCCGTGGCTGCCTCCCTACCCTGCCACCCCCGCTCAGCCCGCACCCTAACTTCCAGTAATAGGGAAGTTTGCACACAGCGGTGAAGCTTTGCTTGATTTTTTTTTGGTTTTCAGCTCGGCTTCAAGCAAGACACTTAGATTCAGGAGGGTCTTTGGAGGAAAAAAAACCAAAAACGGTGCCAAAGAAAACAATACAGATAAAAATTTAAAAGCCACGGAAATGCCAGAAGAACTATATCAAAGAGGTGCTAATTAGACATAGCTCTCAGAGTGGTGTGACAGTTTCAAAGGCTGAGATGTTTGACATTCAGTAGCATAAGAACTGTGGAGAATTAATTCCGCAAATGTCAAGCCATGATGGCAAGTGTTTCTTCACCTGCAGAAGTAATGTACAAAACTGAAGTTCCAGGCCTTCCCTGGGAGGCAATGCCGAGCTGAAGGCGGCTGCCGCGGTGGCACCGTGCACATCCTACCCGGGAACACAACCTGCACCGTGCTGGGACCCGCTGGCAGGTGGCAGGACCAGCTCCCTCCCCTTGCAGAGTGCGAAGGGCAGCAGGCTCACAACAACCCAAAAGGGCCCTGCTGGCATTCACGTAGACATGAGGGGAATGCACACCAAAGCAACCTGCAGGCGAACACACCTGAACGGAGACACATCCCAAAATGTGTGCCAGGGTCACTGCAATGGGGGATTCCCAGGAGGAGCTGCAGCCTGAGCACAAGGCTGCTGCTAGCAGCAGTCTCTAACAAAAACGCCTGTCACACACACCTCACTAAGCAGTGACAACACCCACATGCTGTTCTTGACATCCTATTTTAAAAATAACCCTCAGTTTTTTCCTTTACAACTTATAAAGAGTAAAACTCATTCACAGACTTCTGGTAGAGATCAGAAAGAGCAATGATGCAAGATGTTTTTCTTACAGCTAACCTGAAACCTCTTCCTCAGCGAGGACTCAAATCACAGAATATGTTGAGTTGGGAGGGACCCACAAGGACCACAGACTCCAGCTCCTGGCCCCTGCACAGCACCATCCTCACCCTCACACATAAAATGCTCTGCCTCCCTGCATTTATCCTTTGTTCATTTTAGCCCAATACTGGCTTTGCTCTCTCTGCATGCATAAAAATGATAAATCTACTACAGTTTTTAGTCCTTCCATTGATTTCTATTTTCTTTTATCTAGTTACTAGTTTTGGCCAGATTTTTGTAAAAACAGAAATAAGCAGTAGTTTCAATATTTACAGCAAAAGAATTAGAAGTAAGCTTTTCCAGTACTGTGAAACTGTTCCTTAAGCTACATTTCAATGTGGAGCTTTCTGCTGTCAAAACAAGCTGGCTGTAGGGATTTTCTTGTGTAGCCTATTTCAGTATTTTCATGGAAGTAGCAACAATACTGAAAAAAATAATATTTTGAAAATTTCTCTCCTATTATAACATCACTGTAGAAGATATTGTGGCCTTGAACGGAAAAAAAAAAAAAAGAGCTGTCCTTCTCCTATTTTTTGGAATCAAGAGCAGGTGCAGGAGGGCTGTTAGAGACCACTATAATTTCTCTCCTATTATAACATCACTGTAGAAGATATTGTGGCCTTGAACAGAAAAAAAAAAAAAAAGAGTTGTCCTTCTCCTATTTTTTGGACTCAAGAGCAGGTGCAGGAGGGCTCTTAGAGACCACTACACAAACCTTGTCCACTGTTGTCCATCCATAATGTAACCAGGCAATGCTCCTACTTGCATTAAGATAAAAACTGCTCAGCTCCAAGGTCAGACAGAAGCACAATGGCCACCCAATGCCTGTGCATTTTTTTTTTAAGATTAACCCTTCTTTTTTAGGTGATTTTGTGCTAACAATGAACAGCACACCTACAAGTCTTGAGACAGAAATAGAGCTATAGGCTCACCAAACCAAAGTCCCCTTGCATTCCATGAGTCTCTGAAAGCACACAGCAGTCTCCACAGTCGTCTGTGTCCAGACCCATCCACCAGATCTCAAGGCTTACATCTAGCAGCAACAAATGTTCTACAATCATGTTGTGAAATAATTTTATTTAAAAGAAGAGTTTCACAGAGTTGATATTTCTGTGTGCAGATTCTACAGGTGGCCTTCATGTTGTACAACACGGTCTCCACAGTTGCCATACTAGGGTCCCCCAGCTCCATCTCAACCTGAAAGAGTTTCTAAGTAATATCTGGATGAAGGTATTGATAAAAGACAGCTAAGGAGTAATTATTTCCTATTTGTAGACTACAACAAACAAAGACATACCAATATCCTCCAGCAAGTTTAGTACAAACAAATTATTTTTCAGAATGAATAACTATCTTGTGTAACTGATTTAAGCATGACATTACAGAGGACTGTAGTGTAAAGTATGAGTGGTAAGAGTAAGAAGTATAATAAAAATCAAATAAAACTGAATTCCCTCATGGTTCTTTACATAGAATATCTCTATGCAATTTCTGACACAGAAAGCACAGACAGACCCAGAGTGGTCACTCTTTTGACATGGGGCTCTGGGAACTACTTACCCATTAACAAGTAGTATACTTCCACAGGTAGTAGTTTCTTTTGAGAGCCAAGACCCTTGTGTCTCTCAATCCTGTAAATTCTTCACAGGATAGTTTACCTAAAAAATAAGAACATAAAACACCACATGGGATGAGCAAAAACCTCTTACTTCTATTCATATTTACACCAAAAGAATTAGAAATAAGCTTTTCCAGTGTTTACAAGCCCTAGTAGACAAAAGTGCCCCAGTGGAGGAAGCTGGGATAAATGTAATAAAAGTCATTATTCCTGAGAGCTTTCAGCTTTTTGCGTGGTCGCAGAGTACACCTGAACAGAGCCCCACCAAACTCCCACACTCCATCAGTGCACAACTTGCATTTGATCAGCCAAGAAGAGCAATAGAACTCATTTCCTTTAAAAGCACAGAAAGTATCAGGTATTATGCAGAAACAGAAACACAGAAAACACAGAAACAATAATAATCACAGAGAAGAGTCTCATTCCAAGCAAACAGACATTTAAATTATTACCCGAGTCCAAAAGGGACTCATGACAAGACCACAATACTTTTCTCTCCATTAGACTCCATTTTAAGAGGCATCAAGCAGCCTTACAGTCACAATTCGTTTTTTCTCTCCAGTATTTGGAAAATACAAGAGAAATAAACAAATGCAATTTCTATCCCATTCCATCTAGAAGTTAATTCCTTTTTTGTCAGGGTCACAAGAAGAGCTCCCTTATTTTCTTCACAGGTGCTACTTGTAAATCTGTGCAGCAGAGTTTCTCCTCTTCCCTTAACATGGAGCCTAATTAATAACTTTTGTTTCCCATTTCTCTTTGTTTTAATATGTGCACTCCCAAGTTCCGAATTGCACAAATTCAATGTACATGTATGAAACACATTCTGCTAGTTTCCTCATGCTATCTCGAAATGGAAGTATAAGCAGTTAAATATCTGAATTAGCCAGTAAGAAAATAAAATCAGAATTAAAACAAACAAACAAACCAACTACTAAACAAAAAAAAAATCTTCATGAAGCCTTAAAATGTGCAAGCATAGACTGAGAGAGAAAATTTCCGTGCTACTTCAGAGATGTGAAAGTCCACGAGCAAAAGGCACAATCTTGCTAGCAGCTGCAAAAGAACAATAGAATGTTCTAGCCCACTCTTTCTAATAAACAGCCTCTACAACTAAAATACCAAAATACAGTAGAAACAATGAGTCTTACTCAGAGCATGAATACAAAATTTTGTTCACTACATACTGAACTATAATATCAAATGTAAAGTTAACTAATGAATAAAATCATTAAACAAATAATTAAGGACCAATCAAAAATTCCTCATTTCCTTTTCTCAATAAATTTTACATTACATTTTTAATTGCACTAAGATGTCAGTAAATTGGATTAGTCCATGCAAAGATTATATTTTTACTACTTCTATTCGAAAGAGGAAACACCTGATTTTTAAATTAAAAAATTAAATATTTAAATCAATATTTTTTCAGGTTTCTGTACACCATTACACAAGAAAAATTAAACGTAAATAGGAAAATACTTTTGAACGCTGCCGTGTGGTTTTTGACGACATCAATACTGAAAACACTGGAGAATGCGGGCATCGATCCCGCTACCTCTCGCATGCTAAGCGAGCGCTCTACCATTTGAGCTAATTCCCCACCCGAAAAAAAAACGCTCAAAACTTGGAGACAGAGACTTTAAATTTATAAAAACTACAACACAACTACGTTTGATTATAAATTTATTGTTTCTTGCTGAGTCACTCTTTCCATTCATCAACAAGTGACTGCAGCCCACAGCTGCAATCATGGGACACGTCTTTCAGCACGCACACTACCAGAACAATCTTATTCATCCTTTTGTAACACGAGTCTTTGTTATTTAGCTGGTTTCATACAAGAAGCTCTCCAAAAGATCAAGTTACTTAAAAGAAACCAAATGTGTTTCTAGGGAAAAAGATAAAATAAGGTCCTACTTTTATTGAACAACTGTTCCAAATTCAACAAGGAAAACCCATGCTCTTTCCCATTTTCGGGGCATGCACGTGTAAAGACTGGTTCAGGAAACATTTAATACAGGAAAAAAATGTTATATGCTCAAATGAAAGAGAGTTTTATAGTCAAAACTTACACATATGTGTGTGAGCATATCTATAGATCTGTATGCATATATATGCACATACACATCCTGTCATATAAATATGTATATGTGCACACAAACGTCTTTTTGGAAGGTGTCTGGCTTCTCCGAGGTGAGAGTGTCAAGTGAAAATAAAGCAGATCTGTATTCTTCTTATTTATTACCTCACCAAACGCACTTCCCTATAATTAATACATTCCTTTTACCAGCCTTACAACACTGACTTTTTGAAAAACGAGCGCACCGGTGCTCACATGACTTGACACGTAGTACAAAGCTTATGTCGTGGGCAGGGAACACGACGATGTACGACATCCCAAAAACTGCAACCACGGCCCCCTGGCCCTTTAATCCCCCAAAACTGCACCCAGAGCCCCCCGGAGCTCGGCTCCGGCCAAAGAGCACCCAAACCCGGCCTGCCAAGGAGCAGCGGTGCCGTGGCTGCCGCGGTGCCCGGAGCTCCCGTCACGGCCCCTGCGGCTGCGCCCCCTCCGGGCCCCCGGGCCTCGGCTCCTCGCGTTTGCTTCGCTGCTTCCTCGGGACAACCCTCTCTCCTTCCACAAACCCCTTCCCTTGGCGTTCCAGAATCCCCTGCCACCTGCTCCGTGCTCTTCCATCCCCTCCTGCCCTCAGCGTCCTCGCTTCTGCTTCACAGAATTACAGGATCACTTAGGTTGGAAAAAACCTCAGAGATCATTGAGTTTAACTTCTGCCTGAACACCACCACCATCTTAACTAGACCATGGCATTAAATGCCACATCAAGTCCTTCCTTAAACACCCCCAGAGACAGTGACTCCACCACCTCCCCGGGCAGCCCATTCCAAAGTCTAATCACCCCTTCTGTGAAGGAATTCTTTATGATGTCCAAACTAAAACTCTCCTGGTGTATCTTACAACTATTTTCTCTTGTCCTCTCCCTAGATGCGTGTGAGAAGAGCCCGACCCTCATCTGGCTACAGCCTCCTTCCAGGTGGTTGTGGAGAGTGATAAGGTCTCCCCTGAACCTGCTTTTCTCCACGCCTGCAGCTCCCTCAGCCACTCCTCATAGGATATGTGCTCCAGACCCTCCACCAGCTCTGCTGTCTTCCCCTGGACACACCTCAGTATCCTTCTTGGGGTGGGGGGCCCAGAACTGAACATGGCACTCAAGGTGAGGCCTCGCCACTGCCCTGCTCCTGCTGGCTGCACTATTTCTGATACAAAAATAATGTGAACACACCTGTAACAACTTTCACATACACGTAACTTGATTGACCCAGGTTTTTTGAGCTGAACCAAACCAAAGTGGCTCAGCTCCACTTTACATCTTTCCCCTACTTATTTCAACCACAGAGGCCTCTCAGGTTTCTCTTTGAAACATAAAGTGATATACCAAGCAAGAGTGCTGGGTTTGGCTCTGGTTCTCTATAGGGTGAGAAGAGTTTACAAATTCCACCTGATTTGTCATGGTAATGTTCACTTCTGCTCTTCTCCATAAACTCTTTTTGCTCTTGCACATACAGACAAATTATGTAGCCCATAATCTGCCACCCAGTGACTTTCTGACTGTTGCTTGAACATCCTCATTTACAGAGGAGATTGTTTCTGCACTATGTCAGTACTAAACCAGAAAATGGCTCCTTATTAAGCCAGGCCACATTGCTCTCTCCATAGATGGGAGAAGTTACTCATCCATCAAGTTTAAGCCAGGCCAAGAAGAAATTAAATCAGAGCTTGGATCACCATCTGACTGGTTTCTAACCGAAAATGGCTCCTTATTAAGCCAGGCCACATTACTCTCTCCACAGATGGGAGAAGTTACTCATCCATCAAGTTTAAGCCAGGCCAAGAAGAAATTAAATCAGAGCTTGAGTGGAGGTAGGATCACCATCTGACTGGTTTCTAACTAGCCTGACTTGTTTTTACATCATTTACTGGCTTCTGGTGATGCTGAATCATTTAATGTACCTTAGCCCTGACATGTGATGAATGGCTTGGAGACACTGTACGTGCACATCCAGTTGTTCCTGGAGCTGGATTCTTTGGCAGGAGGCAAGACAGACTAGGAATAACTGAAACTAAGCCACTGTCTTTACTCTCTGTGGCAGTGTCCACTTTGTGCTTGACAAGATTCAGCATTGATTTGCTACAATTTTTTGACAGTGCCAACCACAAGAAAATAGGAAGGGGAAGAAAGAATAATGTATTCAGAAAAAAATATAGCTGTCAGTGTAAGAGCACTGATGGTACAAGTGAGAGTAATAATCAGGTACAAATTTGCTCTGGATTTATGGCCAGCTGTAGTTTAAGCCATACCTGATTTTTTTGGTTGGTTGGTTTTTGTTTGGTTTTTTAAAATACTAAAGCTGTATTTTACTGAAAGTACGTGTCAGAGGTAAACCCAAGATTTTTGAAGGGCAGGAGAGGATGATTGATTGTGTATAGTTTTTCAGTATTTGGAGAATGTTAAGAAAATTAAAAGCAGTGTGAAAATGATATAACACTTGTGAAGTAAGGAGAGATCTTTGCCATGTAAATAATTCAATTTTCTATGTCAGCTGCTAGAACATGCACAGGCACTTCAGAAGGTTTTCTACTGAAAACACTAGGTGAGAAACTGTGATACAAAACTCAGCTGAAATAAGCCACATTTTTTTCACATGATCTTATTTATTAATCAGGAAACACCTTGGATACTTATCCAGGCCTAAAAGCACCTGCTTACTTGATAATCTCTAGGAATTCAGAGTTAGCTAACCGACACTCATTATTCATTATTTAACAGTGACGACAAGGAACATAATTAGACCAGGCATTCCTGAGTAACTTCCTGGTCAGGTCTTTGGATTAAAAAAAAAAATTTAAAAAAATCACCCTATTTTTGTCTTTATCTTCAGAAAAAATAAAGCTTTCTTCACAGGGAGGTGTTTAGAGATGGCTGCTAACAATTCAAATGCTGCTGTGATCCTCAAGGACTGGTAAACAACTCAAGATTCTTCATTGATCCTGTTTCAAGTTGTCGAACACCCTTAACTTTTTTTTCATAGCCTTTTATTTATTTGAGAAGTGTTGAAGTAGCTGTAATTTTACTAACAACATTTAGCAAAAGAAGAACTTAAGAGCTACAAAAAATAGCTCAGGCCTTGCTGAAAGAAATCAATGAATTTCTGTTTTTTCTTATTTTACTTTTTTCAGGAAAAATATCTAGCAATACACAAAAATGGCAAGGTTATAAATGCACAGGAGATGGATTACTGCCAAACTTCAGACACTCCAAGGAATTGAGGAAGAAGGGTGTAAGGTAGAGCACCTTAGCCTACACAGTTTCACCAAGCCTGCTGGCTGGATCAACTAAAGGTGTGTTTTACCATTTATCGCTAAAACTGTCTTTTCTTGCTAACAGTTAACCTGATGTTTGGTGACAAAGGTGCAGAAGCTGAGATTCTTTGCAAGACAGGAATAGCTTTTACAGTTGCAAATAATCCCTATGTTTTATAATCTCCTTTAAAAGAAAAGAAAAAAAACCCAAAAAAACAAAAACAAACAAAAAAAACCCCAACAACCAGAAAGTGAGATATATTGCATATCCAGACTATTTCAGAAGTTGTGTTCTTAGCTGTTAGAAACTATCAGGAATGTGGTTGGAAAATGGAAATTCTGTTCTCCTTAAACACATATTGATGTACATTTTTAAAAATTGTTTTTCAACCTCCAACCTCAAAGCAATGCGTAGGAAAATGCATGAGCATAAACTTTATCATGAATTTATGTTATGAAAAAAATACTTAGGTCCATTTAAAGGCATAGACAGTCAGCTGATATTCCTGCTACTTACAGCCATTGCATTGGGAAAACTAGGATTAAAATCTGCTTTTTCCAGCATTAACTTTTCCCCCTCATGACACAGAAGGCAGCTTCAGGGAAACAGCAGGTTGGTGGCTTTTCTTTAGGACACTTACCTGCCATCCCAACAGCTGCTTCACACATCAGGAGGAGACACAGCCACGGCATTTCCGTGCTCACACGATGACAAACTTCCCAGCACCGCCTGCTCACCGCCCCATCCATAAAGGAATAAAAGCAGGGCAGCAGCTGCCTCGGAGGAGAGAGTTGCCATTGGGGTGGGTGGAAGGTTCTAGCACAGGGCAGGGCACGCTTAGTGTCTGGCAAGAGTGGAACAGAGTCCTGAGAGGCCGGGAAGGTGGGGACATGGAACATGCGGGCAGGGGAGCTGTGTCTACTTTGTTGTCATCTGGAGCAAGTCCGGGCTGACGCTATTGAAAGACAAAGGCGGAGGAGGTTTGTGCACGGACTTTTACCCGGGGGCGTTCTGGTCGTGGTGGTTGTTTTAGGGAGTCTCACAAAATTTACTTTTGGAGTTATGGGGGTGCTTGTTTGAAGGAGGAGGTGCAGTGGGCAGTGCAGCTCCTCAACAGAGCGGGTGGTTTTGTGGGTTCTGGGGTTCCTGTTCCTGTGCTTCCTATTCCTTGCTGCCCTTCCATGACTCAGGCTCCAGCCCTCCTTCAGTTGTTCTCAACACCTACAACCACACTAATCCTACACTGCATTAGTAAATTTTAATAGCTGTTGTTTTCTTTACTTCTGATACTGCTCCTCCAGAGTTCACTTAATGTGTAACATTGAGCCGAGGAGGCAAGTGGAAGACTCAAATCAGAGGATAACTTGGGTTGAAGAATTTGTTGGAGTGGTTGTTATCCTAAACTTTTTTGTTGTCTTAATTCAGCGTGGCTGTGGTGTTTTGAATACACTGTAAGCAGGTAGCTTCATAAGTGAATGCAGCTCCTCTAATGATAAGTCTGGTTTCCCTTTTCTAGTTTAGAATTATTATTTGTCATGGTGGGGTATAAATTTAAGAAAGGAAAGCTCTCAGCTTTTCATATGGGCCTAAGTAATCAGATGTTAAACATACACTAAACTTCCGTGAGTTCTGTGTATCTTAACCCTCGAGTTTTTGAACATTGCAGCCAAATACATTTTTTCATTCATTCCCTATAACCAGTTCCTTGGGGCTTTTTATAAATAGTTGATTTATTTATTTGGATGAGGATATTGTTCTTAAAACTACTCTGTTATTCTGGAAAAAAAAATCTCATTTAGTGAGCATGTAGTTCTGTTCCTTAGTAAAAGCCACAGGATATAGGGATCTGAATCTTCTTAAGTCTTCTAAGCTATGAAAAATCTTCATTCTCACGCCTGTTAACTTTGGCACAAAAAGTGAAAGGTGGGTAAAAATTAAAAATATAAAGAAATTGTTTACTATTCTGTGGAAATCCATGGCTTGGAAGAGACCCTAAATGAACATGAGGAAAACCTTGTATGTGCTGTTCAGTGCTGATTAGCTAGGTGGCCTAATAGCTAGCTCACATTCTCTGCTATGTGGAATTACAGGGAATGTAGAGAAAATGTACATTCTTACAGTGGTGATGTAGAAGACAAAGGCTGCAGATCCAGTGGGATTCAGTCATAGTCAATCTCATTACTTTTGTAATAACCTTGTTTATTGCTATTATCTATTAAGAGGGCATTGTACATGTAGCATGATGTTAAAACTTTTTAAAACACTCATTAAGTTAGTAGGGATACAAAGTCTTCCAGAAAAAAATGGGAGTGAGTTATAACGTGAGTCTAGCCATGTCCCTAGGGAAAAACCGAAATGCATAATCATGTTAATGAATGACTTCCTGTTTCCCCATCTGAAAATAGAATGAAATCTTTGCCAATCTGGACTCCATATGATAACCAAGGTGGAAACCTAAAATCCATGGATCCTTTTAGAGAGAAATTGGTAACCTGTATGTTTTCTTGGTATTTCAACTCTGATAAAGTTAGAGATTTTACAGGTTGAAGTAATGAGGGTGATTTTGTTCTGGTCTCCAGGGAGATGACACAGAGTAGCATAAAATGATCTTGCTCAGAGCTGTGCTTTGAGACCACCATCTTCTTATTAGTGCACAGAGAGTACAGTGTTAACCTAAATGCTAATCTGATAAATATATGCAGAAAACATTTGGGTGTCAAACTTCTTACAAAAGCAGTATATTTAATATGAATTATTTCGGCTTTTGCAAGTTTCTGCTGTGGCTGCTAATGGTAACTGAAGTTACTTAGGATGCCTGGCTAAGCTGTTTCTTTGACCAAAATTCGGGAATTTTGTACTGGTACCTAACCTCCCAAATGGACTATACTGGTTTTCCTCAAACATGATAACCACGGTAGCAAATACTATTAAAAGTAGCAAATTTTTCTAGTGTTTATTATGTTTTGAGTTTGTTGTTTTTTTTGTTTTTTTTTTTTTTTTTTTTCTTGGTTCTTATGTTTTGGAATTTCTTTAGCCTGTTTATGTCCTGTGCTTTGGATATGAATCAATGAATAATGGTAAAATGGAGGCAAAATTTTATGAACAAGCAATAACATCTCCACCAACAAATCAAGTTTTATTCTCATTGTGGCCATTAAAAACAGAAGTAAGGGTTCTGGGAGGTTTCTTCTGACTCATGGCATGTCTCCTGTGTTGCTTTTTATGTGATTTAGAGTGTGTTTGGTGGAGTGCTGTCTGTTGGAGTTTGAGGTTTTTCTTCATGGATTTTTTCCCTCAGAGTATGGTGTGAATTTTGCTGTCCAGTTCCATATTTTGATACTGCTGAGATCCAAAACACATTTCCTTCAATGCTTTGAAGACAGCTTTTCCTTCCATACTTTAAATATGGGATGAATACTGGATACAGAGCTGGAGACATACTTGTTTCATTTTAATGCTATATCTATCAACTTGAAGGTTAGGCTGTTTAACAGCATGAGCTGAATATACTAGAGCTGTCATTACTCATTTTGTCACTGCTAAATTTATAGTTCATTGTGAGTTTTGCTTGATTTTAAGTAAATTTTCCCCTGCCTGCTGTGTTAAAGCCTTAGGACTGTCAGTGCCTAATCACAATTTGAAAGTTTTCACTTTGTGTGCAGTTGTAAGACTGCTTGGGGATTCCCTTAATTAAACCAAGCAGATGTGCTGTACCTTTCAAAATCTGGCTTGATTAAACCCTGGTCTTGCCTGGGCTTACAAGCCTGATGTGGACACAACTAGAAAGGTTCTGTTTGCTTGCTTCTTTGTTTTATAGCATAGGTGGGTTTGAGACTTAAATGGTTTTTGTTCAGCAGGAATACTAAGGAAAACGTGAAACATCCCAGAATAGAAGGGGCAGCAAGCTTCCTTACTTTACCAGGCACACTGACCTGTGGGCCTTTCAGTCAGTCAGTTGCTTAAATGTCAGTGGTATCTGCAGCATAATTCCAGCAGTAAAAACTCAATGACCTCCTGCAAAATAATTTCAGATGCTTCTTTCCACATTGATTAAATGGGAGAGGGAAAACCTTTTTTTTTTTGCAAAGCCAACTGTTTCAATTAGAGTGAAGAGAGTAGGTGGCAAGACACTGGAATTTTATTAATGGAAGAATGGCCATGGGACTTTTGGTATACAGCTTTAGGGCTACGCCAAAGACTGCAATTTTGTTATTTTGTTTTCTGAAATCACTAAGTCATTGACGAGGAGAGATTTGAAAGATCTTTATATGTCAGTGTGATTTTTTTCAAGCATCCTGGGGAAATCAGGAGTTGTTCATGTAGTTATTGAATAAGTTTCATTTCAACACTCTTTTTTTCCAGAACAGCAGATTATTTAATATTGTAAGTGTAATAAAAAGTTCACAACTCTCTCTTGCTGTTTGTGAAACCACTAGACAGAATTTTCACTGCTGTTTCATTATAGTAAGAATTTGTATTTTTTTTACATTTTAGTTGTTTATTTTTGATTTTTTAATATGTTTGTGAGTGTGCTTGTCTGTCTGGTGATAGCATCACAACTTAAAAATGCCTGAGAGATGTTAGTAAATAATGTGAACTATTACTTTGTTTCCTGGTGTTGCATTTGGTGCTTTCTTCATTGTTTCCAAGAACCTTTGTTCCATGGGTGCATTTTTTTTACTCCCTTTTTATAACATGAACCCAGCCTTTATTGCCACAAGAGAAAGAACTGGAAGAACTCTACCTATTCTGTCATATATATTTTATATTGTAAAACGTGGAGAAGGATAAAGTAATTTAGCCGATTGTCTTCCACCTGGCGATTACAGACAGGAAAAATCTGTTTTAGAAAAAATACAGTATTTAAATATATCCAGATTTCTCTTAAGTAATAATAATTGTTTGGTGTGAACATAAGTCTTCAATTGCCTGGAAACACAAGCCCGGATGTTATCCAGATGCAGCTCCACTGAACGAAGTGCCTGCTGTTCCTTCAAGGAATCCAGATATCATATTAGGCAAAATTCCCACTACGGCTGTCAAAAGCAATGCGCTTGCAGGAAGACCTAATTGTTTCTGCGTTTCGCTGGGGGGCTGAGCGCTGTTATTGCCTGCCGTGCCTTCGAGAGGAGATGAGAAGGGCTCGGACCGCCCAGCTCCGGGGTTTGGGGAGGAAGCTTTGCGTTGGAGGCGGCGGCTCGCGTCTCAGCGCGATGTGCGGTGGCTCCCGCAGCGAGGGAAGCGCCGGCGGGAATGGTCAGTGAAGGGGGCGAGCGGCCCGCAGGGGGAATTAGCTCAAATGGTAGAGCGCTCGCTTAGCATGCGAGAGGTAGCGGGATCGATGCCCGCATTCTCCACTGAGGTTTTGCTGCGACGCAGTTTTGAATTCAGATGCGTTTTCCTGCAGCAGTCTCGTAAGGATTAAAATTAATCCGTTTGGAGACGTGTTTACATAGTATGAACTATTTAAGTTTTTAACGTTGATCAGAGCTGAGCTTTATTTTATTTAGGTGTAAATTATCTTCTCCCTATGACAAGAGGAGGATACTAAATGATACTGTGGGAGACCGAATATCACTTGAAAGTCACGTTAGGAGCAAGCGTGCCCTGCCCATCCCATAGCGAGTGCAAGGTAGCTGGAGAGACTCTAATTCTGTGGTGAGCTGATGATTTTTGTAGACAACTACCAGTTTGTACATCTTCGCAGAGACAATTCCAGTAACTTTTTCTATCATTAAAAAGTGCACATTCGGTGCAGCGGTAAGGGATGGAAGAGGCTATTTGTTTATTCCTGTATCACAGAGTAACAGCGTTCGTTTAGGTGGGTTTGTGAAGAAATTGCTCCTCAAATAGTACACAAGTGTTATCCATGCAATTAACATTTCTTCTCCAGTTTTTTTGTCGCGTGAGGTGTTAACATTTTTTGTCCCTTTTTTTTTTTTTTTTTTTTTGCCGCGTGAGGTCGTCTGTATTTCCTGCTGTAGATTTTCTACCACAAACCCGGGGCAGCTCGTGGAAGAAAATCTTCTGCCGGCCCATCAAAACACTGGAGAATGCGGGCATCGATCCCGCTACCTCTCGCATGCTAAGCGAGCGCTCTA